TGAAAAGTGTTGGGAATCCCTAAAGATGCAGGAAGAGCCAGAGAGTAAGACACTGGATTGATCCTACGAAGCACTCTATAGGGACCAAGGAATCTGGGGCAAACTTCATGCTAGGGACCTTAAGCTTGATGTTGCGAGATGACAACCAAACCCGGTCCCCCACTTGGTACACCGGGTTGGCACTCCTACGCTTATCAGCAAAATGTGTGAAGCGTTCAGCAGCAGCCCATAAAGCAGTTTGAACCTTAACCCAGGTATCCCGCATTGAGGCCAGACGCTCATCCAGAGCAGGAATGGCAGTATCAGAAAATACAGCAGGGAGAACCGTAGGATGCCTACCATTATTGACAAAAAATGGACTGTGCCCAGAGGAGTCATGAACAGCATTGTTTCTAGCGAACTCGGCCCACGGGAGTAGTTCGGACCAATTGTCTTGTGTGCTATTAATAAAACAACGCAAATAAACTTCTAATGACTGGTTAGCCCTCTCAGCTGTACCATTGGTCTGTGGATGGTAGGAGGAGGAGAAGGAGAGATCAATCCCCAATTGTTTACTGAACGCCCTCCAGAACCTGGACACAAACTGAGAGCCCCTATCAGACACAATATTGTGGGGGATGCCATGCAAACGGACAATTTCACGTATGAAAATTAGGACCAAATCTTGCGAAGATGGCAACTTCTTGAGAGGAATGAAGTGAGCCATCTTAGAAAATCGGTCTACAACCATGAGAATAGTAGTGAACCCAGCAGAGCTAGGAAGCTCAACAATAAAGTCCATGGATAGGTGGGACCATGGAATCTCAGGAACAGGAAGAGGCTGCAACAGGCCACAAGGAAGTGCATGAGTCACCTTAGAAACTGCACACACAGAACATGCCTGCACATACTCCTTTACATCTTTCCTGAGTGAATCCCACCAAAATGATCTAGTGATCACGGCAGTGGACTTATTGATGCCCGGGTGTCCAGCAGTTATATTGTCATGGAACACTTTCATGATATTAACCCTTTCACGTAGGGGAACGAACAGTTTATCACACGGTTTACCACTGGGCGCCTGAGGCTGGGCCTCCAGTATGGTGCCAAGCAGTGGAGAAGACAGTGAGAGGACAGTACAGGGAGTGCAGAATTATTAGGCAAGTTGTATTTTTGAGGATTAATTTTATTATTGAACAACAACCATGTTCTCAATGAACCCAAAAAACTCATTAATATCAAAGCTGAATATTTTTGGAAGTAGTTTTTAGTTTGTTTTTAGTTATAGCTATGTTAGGGGGATATCTGTGTGTGCAGGTGACTATTACTGTGCATAATTATTAGGCAACTTAACAAAAAACAAATATATACCCATTTCAATTATTTATTATTACCAGTGAAACCAATATAACATCTCAACATTCACAAATATACATTTCTGACATTCAAAAACAAAACAAAAACAAATCAGTGACCAATATAGCCACCTTTCTTTGCAAGGACACTCAAAAGCCTGCCATCCATGGATTCTGTCAGTGTTTTGATCTGTTCACCATCAACATTGCGTGCAGCAGCAACCACAGCCTCCCAGACACTGTTCAGAGAGGTGTACTGTTTTCCCTCCTTGTAAATCTCACATTTGATGATGGACCACAGGTTCTCAATGGGGTTCAGATCAGGTGAACAAGGAGGCCATGTCATTAGATTTTCTTCTTTTATACCCTTTCTTGCCAGCCACGCTGTGGAGTACTTGGACGCGTGTGATGGAGCATTGTCCTGCATGAAAATCATGTTTTTCTTGAAGGATGCAGACTTCTTCCTGTACCACTGCTTGAAGAAGGTGTCTTCCAGGAACTGGCAGTAGGACTGGGAGTTGAGCTTGACTCCATCCTCAATCCGAAAAGGCCCCACAAGCTCATCTTTGATGATACCAGCCCAAAACCAGTACTCCACCTCCACCTTGCTGGCGTCTGAGTCGGACTGGAGCTCTCTGCCCTTTACCAATCCAGCCACGGGCCCATCCATCTGGCCCATCAAGACTCACTCTCATTTCATCAGTCCATAAAACCTTAGAAAAATCAGTCTTGAGATATTTCTTGGCCCAGTCTTGATGTTTCAGCTTGTGTGTCTTGTTCAGTGGTGGTCGTCTTTCAGCCTTTCTTACCTTGGCCATGTCTCTGAGTATTGCACACCTTGTGCTTTTGGGCACTCCAGTGATGTTGCAGCTCTGAAATATGGCCAAACTGGTGGCAAGTGGCTTCGTGGCAGCTGCACGCTTGACTTTTCTCAGTTCATGGGCAGTTATTTTGCGCCTTGGTTTTTCCACATGCTTCTTGCGACCCTTTTGACTATTTTGAATGAAACGCTTGATTGTTCGATGATCACGCTTCAGAAGCTTTGCAATTTTAAGAGTGCTGCATCCCTCTGCAAGATATCTCACTATTTTTGACTTTTCTGAGCCTGTCAAGTCCTTCTTTTGACCCATTTTGCCAAAGGAAAGGAAGTTGCCTAATAATTATGCACACCTGATATAGGGTGTTGATGTCATTAGACCACACCCCTTCTCATTACAGAGATGCACATCACCTAATATGCTTAATTGGTAGTAGGCTTTCGAGCCTATACAGCTTGGAGTAAGACAACATGCATAAAGAGGATGATGTGGTCAAAATACTAATTTGCCTAATAATTCTGCACTCCCTGTAGTAGCAATAATACACTCTGGTGGAATAATAGGAGATGTCATCTGTTCCGGAGCTGACTCATTATCAAATTGCCTGGACAAGGCATCAGCCTTGGTATTTTTAGAACCAGGTCTATAAGTAATGAGAAAGTTAAAACGTGAAAGGAACAGTGACCATCTAGCCTGTCTGGAAGACAAACGTTTGGCATCCCCTATATATGCCAGATTTTTGTGGTCGGTTATGATCAACAGGGGGTCCTTGGAACCCTCCAAAAGAAGTCGCCACTCCTTGAGGGCAAGAATAATGGCCATGTCGTAATGTCAGGATTACTGTTTGATCCAGCACGTAGAACTGTACAGCATGGATGACAAATAAGTAATGTATTACAGGTCCTTAGAATGGCCGGATTTAACGTACAAAGAATAGTCAAAAATACTAGCCGAGGTCAGGGAACACAGAAAGGGACACAGCGATGAGGAAAGCCAGGAGTCAGGATACCAGAATATAGAGAAGTCAATAAACAAAACCAAAGTCAAAAACCAGGTAGAAAACTATAAACAGGAACGCGCTCTCAGACAACCACAAGGGAAACCACGACAGGGCACTGAGCAGGCTGAGAACTGGGCCTAAATACCCCTCCTTTAGTTCTGATAGGCTTTAACCGGCCTTTGACCCCAAAGTCAGTTACCAGGTTTCATTTGCATAATTGCTGCTCAGCATTAACCCTTCTGTGGATTAGGTTGCTGCTCGGCACAACTTTTCCTGTGTGGACAGTAAATGTCATTAATCACTTTTCTCTAAGCGGATGAATACATGACACCAGGTTTCATTTGCACAATTACTGCTCAGCATTAACCCTTCTGTGGATTAGGTTGTTGCTCGGCACAACTTTTCCTGTGTGGACAGTAAATGTCATTAACCACATTTCTATAAGCGGATGAATATGTGACAATTATATACACACACTCATACAAACACACATTTTGCATTATATACACACACTCATACAAACACACACTCTGCATTATATACACACACACACTCATACAAACACACACTCTGCATTATACACACACACACACACACACACACACTCATACAAACACACACACTGCATTATATACACACACACACACACACACTCATACAAACACACACTCTGCATTATATACACACACACACACACCTCATACAAACACACACTCTGCATTATATACACACACACACTCATACAAACACACACTCTGCATTATATACACACACACTCATACAAACACACACTCTGCATTATATACACACACCTCATACAAACACACACTCTGCATTATATACACACACACACACACACTCATACAAACACACACCTGCATTATATACACACACACACACACTCATATAAACACACACTCTGCATTATATACACACACACACACACTCATAAAAACACACACTCTGCATTATATACACACACACACACACACACACATACAAACACACACTCTGCATTATATACACACACACACACTCATACAAACACACACTCTGCATTATATACACACACACTCATACAAACATACACTCTGCATTATATACACACACACACTCATACAAACACACACTCTGCATTATATACACACATTCTGTGTATATAATGCAGAGTGTGTATATAATGCAGAGTGTGTGTTTGTGTAATGTGTGTGAACTGGGTGGGGGGAGGGCATTTTTATTATTTTAATTTTTTTTATTTTAATATTATTATTTTTTTATTATTTTAATTTTTTTTTGTCCCCCTCCCTGTTTGTTAACTGGTCAGGGAGGGGGGCTATCTTAATCCCTGGTAGTCCAGTGGCATGGGCTGTGAAGTGGGGGGGCTGACAGGAAGCATTTACTTACCTTTCCTGCAGCTCCTGTCAGCTCCCTTCTCCTCCGTTCCGGTCAGCTCCACTGTAAGTCTCGCGGTCTGGTTGCCGCGCGGATCGTTGCCATGGCTCTGACAGCCGCGGCTCTCTAAGTTGCCATAATACAGACAGTGACTCGAGTATAAGTCGAGTGGGGGTTTTTAAGCACAAAAAATGTGCTGAAAAACTAGACTTATACTCGAGTATATACTGTAGTAAAAAAATGTATATAGTGAAATGTGAGAAGGCATTTTTTAAATCTACGCCCCCAAAGAATTGTGATGGCTTATTCAGTAAGTAGAAGGGGTTCTTAAACAGTGAATTTATGCATGAAAAGTGCAAAATAGGGGGGCGGAGCCTGACACCCAGCCTGAACGGACGCCATTTTTCCCAGCTCCTGGGTAGCCGACTATAATCTAACAAATATCACCTTACACAGGGCCCATCCGCCCAAACAAAACACTCACCCAGCATCACGACGACGGGGCAAACGGATTGATGCAATTTTTTCAAGCCACCAAGCAAACCAGGCAACGGCGCAGATCCGCGGCCTACCGCACCACATCAGCCCTCAACATCGAGGCACTTTTCGGCGGACCGCACGAGGACCGGGACTACCCGGTATACTCACCGCCAGACACACCAACCATGGGCCGCCGCACTCCAAAACCTACAGCAAGCATCAACACCTCCTGAGACCGGCCCAAACCACGCAAACGCACGCAGACCACCCGCAAAACATGGCCCCTGTCCCAGAAATAGAGGGAAGAAGGACCCCGGATACACAGCAACCCCAGGTCGGGCTAACTACTCCCCAGACCTCACCAGAGGACTCAGCCCCCACCACCAAAGGGGATCTAAAAGTGCTCTTAGCAGATATACAGAGGCTACTAGCTGCTGGTATAGCCCTGATCAGAAGAGATATGCAAACAGTCACAGACTGACTCACTATCACAGAAACAGACATGGCAGGAGTGCAGAACAATATGACCACCCTGAAAGACTCACTCCAACAGCTAAACATGGAACAGCAAGTACTAGCAGCCCAAATAATGTCCCTCGAAGACAGACAACGGCGAACACACATAAAAATCTGCGGCATACCCAACACCATCACCACTGAAGAACTGCCCCACTACATGCTCCGCCTCCTGACAATGATCCTGTCACACTCAGTAGCAAAGAAAATCACTCTGGATGGTATATATCATGTAACAAGTTCTGTCCGCATCACACAAGATACCCCCAGAGATGTCATCTTACGCTGTGTCACCATACATGACAAGATTCAAATAATGACAGCCCTGTAGGGCAAAACGCCACTAGAATTCGAGAATGCAAAACTTTATTTTTTCAAGATCGTGACGACTACCCTACGTAAAGCAAACATACCATAGAGATGGGGCAACACCGGCTCCCGTCTCGTCCATCATGAGGGGACCACTCACAACCTCACCTCCCCGACGGGAGCTCCTGCCTTCCTGACTGCCCTGGGACTCCAACCGGGCCCACACCGCACTATAGAAGACAACCAAAACGCAATCTGGGACCAAACAGCTAGCACTTCAACCGGACCAGCAATGAAGAGCCTGCAGCCCCAGAATACCTGATGCAAGACAGGAACTGAGATAACCCTATCTATGTTCGGCCCTATGGCTAACTAGACACCACATCTGAACTGACCATCAGGGCTTTTATTTTAACCAATGAAGAAATTATAGTTTTATATTTTGTTGCATAATGTTCCTTTTTTTTTTTTTCCTTCTCTCCTTTTTCCCTACCTCTACACACAACATGCACACCCCTCCCGCCCAGCAAGTAACAGGCCTCTAACCATCAGGCTGTCCAGAGATGAATGGCGTCCGAAACACCCCCCCCCAATGTCCCCCTAGGACAGGGGTATCCTTAGGCATGCCAGACCACCACTGCAATACCGTTCAAACCACAACTCACACACACTTGATGCTCGCTCTACATATAGTGCCCACAAGACACACACACCCTAGCATTACCTACACACCAAGACTAACCTGACAACACACATGAGCAAGCTCCAATGCAGCAATGCACCCTCCTGAAACTAAAGGATCATTCCTGTAACCGTAACCATGTAGTATCCCGGGAGCGCAACACGCACCAACACTTAACATGCTAACATTTTGCTAGACCTGGGCATGTCACCTAACCTGTTAAAAAAAAAAAAAAAAAAACAATGTGCCTACCAAACACATCTCAAAAACCACCCTGCTAATCACCTACAATGATGTCAAAACCAATGTTACAGTTAGAGTTACATGCTTGAAAGTTGAAAATATGCTGAGATGTCAGTTGTCATTTCTCTGTACAACCGAGCACGGAAAAATAAAGATTTAAGAAAAAAAAGGAGCAAAATATTAAGCTTTTCACCTTCTGCCACAAGAACACTCATGGAGACCGGTCATAGCTCATAGAGAACGTGTTTTATTCTCCATCCATGGTGCCATGCAGCAAGGTACAATTAAAGTGACTGTGCGTGTCACCTAGTTATTTGATGTGCATGTGCGGTTCCATGATGACAGAAATCATTCAAGCAGCATATGTGCATATGCTATTGTATTTGTAGATGAGAGAGCTTATGTTTGCACACTAACAAACAGATTAAATTTAAAAGAAAGTGAATCGTTAATAAAATGTCTTATTTTTATTTATTTAGTGGTCAAACCAATACAGTATAAAAATCTTCCAAAATGTGTATTTCATATACATCACATGTCACATGATTAGGTATCAGCACTTTTAAAACAATAGTTTTAGAAATGGTATTAATATGTAACTTGTGTGTTGTATCGCAATTCTCTACATTTATAAGGTAATGTAATTAATATGATGCACACATTTGATCATGCTTTTATTAAAAGTTGATGTGTTTACATATACCCAAAATTCATATTTGCCGATTTACCCTGCCTCTGATTGAGGTTTAGGGTATTGATTAGGAGAGTCACTGCATCTGCTTTTAGGTGTGTTTACTAAGGTTAAAATACTATATAATTCCTAGATTTTACTATTAACAGGACGTAAAGTCATGATTTTATTAAATAACATGGAGGCGAGTATTATGCTTTCTCTTTCTTTTATTTTCCCTCTGCAGCAAAGAGAAAAAAAATAAATAACTTAAATGTATATGAATAAAAAGAACAAATATAACAAATCTGCCTAGAAACAGGGCAGCCAATCAGGATACAGGACAGTCTTTAAAGGTCTGAACTAGCAGTAAACTTCCTCTTCTATGCCCGTAAAACCGAAGACCAGAATCCAGTCCAAAACTTGCAACATCCCCTGCAGGTCCCCTCTCCCTCCCACCCCCCATCCCATGTTGCTGAAGGGGTGAAAACCCCTTCAGTCACTTACCTGAGACCACTGGCGATGTCCCTCGGTGGTGGTTTAGAGTCCGCCCATGCTCCTCCCCTGCCGACGTCAGCCGGCGGGGGAGACCGATTGCGCATGCGCGGCCGCCGGAGGGGATGAGACCTAATGCACGCGCATTAGACCCCCCCATAGGAAAGACTTGAAAATGCTTTCAATGCTTTCCTATGGGGATTTTAGCGACGCTGGAGGTCCTCACATAGCGTGAGGACATCCAGCGATGCTATAGCACAGTGCTGTGCTATAGACCAGGAAGTGCCCTCTAGTTGCTGTCTAGTAGACAGCCACTAGAGGAGGAGTTAACCATGCAATGTAAATATTGCAATATTTACAGTTGCAGGTTTAGGGTTAGGGAAAGTTGGCACCCAGACCACTCCAATGGGCAGAAGTGGTCTGTGTACCTGGAGTGTCCCTTTAAATACATAGACTGCTCAGTGTCTGCTCAGCTAAACCTCCATTTGAAGTCTTCAATCTATAAATGGAAAATGAAGCTTGGCAAAGATCCAAATGCAGGTAGAAGAGTTGCTGGGTGCACATTTTGGTAAAAAAATAAATAAATCTATTTTCCTAAAATAAGTCTGGTGTTATAAGCAAATTAAAAAATATATATATTTCTTGTACTTTGTAATTTGGAGGGACCTAGGAACCCATCTACACAGTTGTTATGCTGGTCCCCTACACCTTCACTTGCTTATATCTAGGCAAAGGCAATAAGCAGTTACTGCTCTGTTGGTAATGTCATTGCACCAGGCCAGAGAGGCTCGTGTTGAATTTTGAGGGTTAAGGGAACTCGTAATTTGTCAGGATTGGAAACTAATAAGAAACCTGTTGCCAAGGTAGCGTTTAGCAGCTCCCATAAAGAGTAATGGGAGCTGTTAGCCATTACATAGTGACTGGTTTCAAAAGTGGCAACCGTTAACTACCTGTCACTACTGGTGTGACCTATTTTAGCTGTTGATGAACAGCTTTAACTCGTTAATAGTAGTGATGGCACTTTTTCGTGTAACAGCTGGCCGGCAAAAAGTAGCAATAACGTTGTACATTATCCCTTAGTTAGGCACCATATTATTTTGATTGTTTTAGAAAATGTTTCAACAAGCTGTATTAAGATTTTTTTCCACATTGGTTAAAGATCTATGGGGATATAGCTAACAGTAGTTGTCAACTCCCTCCATCCACCCCCACAGTATACAACATTTATCAAAAGAGCAGGAGCAGTACCTATAACTCTTTGTCTCACCAAAACACTCAACCCACATGACTTTTAAAGAAAGAGGTGAAACTTACTTCTATTATAATTGCACTACAATAGCAGACTGTGCATTGTACATTACACATCTATAGATTGTTTTTTCTTTTCAACCAAGCTACATAATTATATACTTTATGGATAGTGAAAGTAGGACAGGAGCTGTTTCCATGACAATTATGAATGCTATTTCTTCGCCCAAAAGTTTAAAAATACTTAACTTAAAGACTGATGTTTAAAGCCTCCACATTAACTAACTGGCTACCAGGGGCTTACAACAGAATACACATCATGAACCCTTGTTTTTCACTGGCCAAATAAATGATAATTGGATCATCAAACTAATTGGTTAATTCTGATGATGAAACCAAGAGAAGATTCTATTAAATGGCATAAATAAAACTAATGGTAATGACTACCAAGGGAAAGCTTAGGGACGCAGTGTGAATCACCATGTATTGTTCCTGCAATCAACCCCTTTATTGTCAAGGTCTTTTTGATTAAAACCAATTAGCAGAATCATTATTTGAAAACACGGGATGCACGACTAACACATAAATATAAGACATAATCACAATTTTCCTAAAATAGTAAAATGATGTATATTTATCTAATAATATTTTGTAATATAATATATAATGAATTGTTAATCCTTTACTGCAATATTGGGGGTTACACCCTTTCAGATAAAGTTTAACATATAGGCACAAAAGGAGAAATGCATTTGTTTTCACATACATTATGGGAATGTCTAATGAGACTTAAAGTACTTCTGGATATATATATATTCCAAAATTGCCAGCTGGATTTAAATTTCCACAGTATAGTTACACTAAACATTTGTTTATAGCCTGAAAAGCATTCCTGGAGTGTACTTAGTCAATCAGAGCCTTCCACCATAATTTATACATTGTTGTGAAAATGCAGCCATAAAGTTTAACCTACAAAACTTGATGAGGGCTATAGAAGGAAGTATGGTGTCATCTGCAGTCTGTTTGCAATGATGCAGAAAGACCTCTGCAGCATAACAAACAATACAAAC